ACTGGAGAGACCATCCTTATCTTTTTTAGGTCTATCTAGAAGCTAAAAGTGACAACGTTTTCATCTGCTTTTGAAAGCACAGGGTCCTGAGACAATTTGGATGAGGAGTAATCATCTCTGCAGTGCTCTCTGCTGGTACCTTGGGGTTTTCTGCCTCCTAATTTCTGGGTTCATGTTGTCGAAATCTTTTATGTCAATGTGCTTGAACTAAACTTAGAGTGCTACAATGCCAAGCAGTTCCACACTCCAAAGAAAAGAAGTGTCTGGGTGCTTTTAAGGCTTTAAAACTCAAGACTGATTCCTGTTTACTTCAACCATCTTCCAAAGGATCAGTTGTGACGTGAAGCATAATATTCTCCATCCCATCTCTCTGCTGAACCTAGTCTGTATTCTTTCTCTCGGAGGGAGTGTTTTTCTTTAGAACTGGCACCAACACAGTGATGTCTTGCTCACATCCGTTGCGTATTGCCATTTGATCACACAAATTAAAAAGAGCCTGTGCCTGGCTAGGACTGAGTTGGAAAGGAGAGTAAAGAAGGTGCCCAAACCCCAATGGTATTAGCATTCAAGTGAGGTAGCAACCATGGCTACAAGATTACACAAAATAGAAATGAAGCTCATGTCACCGTCTGTGGTGGTTTTTTACCAAGAGAGGAAAAAGATGCATTGGTGGCTAGTATTTATATATCCAGAACTGTTTTCATGCTTGGTTACCTGGAAGTTGCTGCTGCTGCAGGGTAGAAAACCAAGCTATGTATCTACTCTCGTGGTTCACAATTGTACAAATACACTTTAGAGGATAAAGTAAGCTGGGAGGGAGTTAAGAAATTTGCCTCTTTTTGTAATTTACTTGCTGAAGAAGGCTGCCCTCTGAGCAGGCTAACTATTGCCACAGAAAGCATAGACATTTCCAGGGATTCAGCAGCAATCCTGTGCAAATGACCATGTTCTGGAGGAGGATGGTGAGGAGAAAACTGCTCCCATAAGGAGACTTGCCCAGGACAAATCTATGGTGCTGCACCTTTGTTGCAATGCCGAGTCTGTTTCTAGGTTTGATTACTAAAATAGCATATGTGAAAGGAGGCTGATTGCCAGTCTATCCGTGGTTGGCTTTGTACACACTCTTGGGCATGTTTGCTTATTGCCAGCAGGACACCTCATGTAAACCAGAGATTTAAAATGCTGCTGTTCTCTAAGACTTCATTGCATACGTACAGACTGTATTTATGTTTGTACATGTGATGTATGAGAAAATATATCCTATTTGCTTGTCCAAGTTTTATCTATGTTCTCCTGTGGAATGAGGTAACGCTTTGCTGCTTACAGCATGCTGATGTCTGCCCTCTCTTGCTGTTAATGTATTATTTGTGATACCAACTATGAGCCCCAGCCATGAACTGGGATTCCACCATATTTCATGAAGATACTGTGTAAGTGGGAACAAGAGAGAGAGAGTTCTGGCTTCAAAGAGATTATGAGCTACTTTTCATCTAGATCTGATAGGATGCATGCAAACAGCAATTGTTTTTTTAACTCCATCTGGCGACCCTAACCCCTTCCAAGATGTGATCTCCTACTGACACAAACATTCCTTTGGTCATAATGTCTAGTCAAACACAACTTTGTTTCCTCTGTGAAGTTTTATATGGACTAACTTTTTTTAATCTCTTTTTGGCCTCTTCCAGGAAGAGAGGCTGAGCAAGATTTTTGAGGTGTTAAAGGGAAGTACAGTAAAATGAATTATAGAAATGCTACCAAACTCATACTTCATAGACCAAACAAAGGTTTCACATAAGATGAAATATATTTCAGGCTGGGATGCTGATCTTATTTGTTTGATGAATCTGTTTACCTCTTGCATGCATCCATCTAACTCGTGAGAAGGCAGATATATGGAGTGGGAACTGAATGGTCTCAGACCTATCCATTCATCACTTGCATGAGGCATCACTTGCATGACTTTCATTGCTGGAGTCTCCAGATACTCCCCTGTTATATAGGAAAAGAAATCTTTCTTTCCTCTTGGTCTGCAAGATAATTAGCTTAATTTATAGATTTATGACCATTTGTATTCCCTAGCTTGCATAAGTGAACTTAAAACAACTCAGGTGATCTCAGAGCCACATCTGTTGTACAATACCCTTCATGTCCTATGGGAGTCGTGTCCATATCTAAGCTGGGCCCAACTGTTTGGAATTCTGCTCTTGTTCTCCTGCCCTGTGGAACATTTTGGAAAAAGTGTGGTGATTTTTTTAGGTCTCTGGTTCTCTGGAAAGTATTTTTGGGTGAATATGGAATATGACTTATGTGTGTAGTGACCTATTAAGAGCACAGGCTCTTATTTTTGGTACTAATCAAAATGGGGGTGTACTTGGAGTATGCTTCTTCACTCCTAGAAATGAGTTAAAATCTGCTTTTGAGAAAGGTGGTGGGCCATTGTCAATTAGGGCTGAATAAGGCCTTGTTTTCCTGCAATAGATACCTGGACATCTAGAAGGCTTTTAAGAGGGCCAAACCAGGGGGATAGTTTAATCTGAGAGCAGATGTCTTTTCTATTAGAAGATGTTGTGAGCTAGATGAGGCACTGACAGTGCTTACCTCTTTCTCCTACATTAGCCTGGCCACAGTTCAGATTAGATGCCTACTTTGCATGCAGGAGAATTTTTTGGCAGGTCTCTGAGGGATCTGGCAGACAATGCTATTTGCATGCCGTGGTACAAATATAAAACCATTTCTCTTTTCACTAAAATAAACCGGAGCCAAGATGCAGTTGCAGTGTCTAATGGATTTTTGTAGAAATAAATACAAACGGGGGGAGGAAGAAGAAGTAATATTCCCAGTGAAACCTGCTACATAAGGCAAATTCTCTTCCTTGATTTTACTGAAGTATTTATCTTTCCCCTTCCCCTTCAATCCTTGATCTCACTGGGTATGTTTCTGATGTAGAGATACTGTAAGATGCATGTCTGTGAAGAAACCAGTTGGCTGAATCGCTAGGGTCATTTCGGGTCTGTGTCTAGAAGTACGCAACACACAGTGGACTAGCAGAGAAGTTCTGATTTAGTACAAGTATAAAATTATTACGGTGCCCAGAAGAAGGGAAATATTTAGGGCAGCCCAAATGCTAGTCCAACACTGGCTTCATACATGCTGTGCTGTTTATAGGGTGGGGGCAAGGAGAAGAAAGAAAGGATAACTTAATGTTTTCCAAAGAATCTCCACTGGCATGTTTGTGCCTCTCCCTGTGCAAGGGTGTGTGACTCTTCTGTCCCTTTGAAGGGACAAACACCCACGTTTTAATCTGGAATGGTTTTCACCCAAAACAGTATATTCATAGTACTAAATGCTGATGATTCGTTGCCAGGCCCTGCTGCTAACCATCATCTCTGTCTTTCAGCAAGGGATGGCTATTAAATGGTATTGCAAAGCTGTGTGTCCAATGCTGCTCATTAAATAAAGACAGTGGGAATCCTTGAGGGGAAAAAAAAAAAATCGCCTGTAACCCCCAGACAAACCAGAGCAGAACATTACATCAGAGTTGTTAAGATACTCCCACAGCGTTTATTTTTTTCCCAGCTGTCATGGCATGATGCACATATTAGTCATTCTGTTGTATCCTCATATAGGGGGGCAAAACCATCCTTTAAAGCAGTTTGTCAGCATCCAATAGCTAAATGCGAACAATCAGAAATGATTACTCATTTCCAAAACTATTAGTGGTTAGTATCTTTGGTCATTTTAAACAGTGCTAAAATCACTCAGCATAGAAGCCCTTGGGTCATGGGTTATAAATTAATTTCTATCTGAACTTCCCTGATCACTCCTTTTATATCACTTTTTGTGCTTTGTAGAAGATAATTATTCCAGCAACCCAATTTGGCATTGTGCTAGGTTATACAGCTACCCCTCCTTGAGACGGTTCCCTTCACAAGGAAATG